CATGGCACTATCCACCCACAGGCTGTGGCACAGATAAGGAGAGCAGTGGATGGAACAACAAGAGTGGGAAAATCCTGCTGGGTTTTCAACAGCTTTGAGGAGGAATTTTTCAGTGGAAATCTTTTGTCTGGAAAATGCCTGCCCATTGTAATGGAAACGGTCCATAGGAAGAGGTTTGTTTGGACAAATATTCTGCTAAGTGTTTCTGGGGGGAGGAAAAACAAGTTGGAAATGTTCCAATCCTTCCCCCTTCAGCTATTTCAAAATAACAGTATCTGAACCTCCCTTTAGAAATAACCATGAGAGCTTAGAAGCTTAATTTAGGAAATGATAAATTAATAAATTACTGAACCCGCATAAAGTAAAAGCAAGAAAGGCCTGTGTGGCAAAAAGCAGTGTCCAGCCAAAGCTAATTGTGCCTCTCCTCAAGGTGACCTCCATCTCCCCAGGTGCAGGGAGACCTCTCAGCTCTTCTATCTTGTTCCAGAGCCCCTAATTCCCTTTTCCAGGTGCCTGTGTGCCAGGGAACCAGCAGCACCACGGACCCGACTGCCCCTTTCGCTGAGCTGCTGCTCTGCCTTGTGCTGAAGCAGGTACTGCAGCACCTCGGGGACTTGCTGTAAAATCACTAATTAAATAAAAAAAGCCATTTCAGAGGTGTTGGATCAGCATAGAAAAGGGGGGCAGGACACATGACAGGGGGTGGGTTTGAGGGAGGCTGAAGAGGTGACGATGCCCAGCGAGCACCAGCAGTGCCCTGACCATCAACTGGACGGTCCCTGCCCCCTGATTTTGGGCAACCTGCTTTGAGAGGACCAAGTGATGCCCACAGGACTGAAGGATGGAGGATGACATCCTGTCCACCTGATGCTGCAGCAGCCAGGTCCACCTGGAAGGTGGCTCTTTGGGCATTGCTCCTGGGAATCCTGCTCCATGCAGGGGCTGGACCTTGGCATGGGGCAGTCAAGCCAGAGAGGGGGCCTGACACCTTCCTGCCTTTCCTGTCCCATAAAAACCCAACCAATGGTTTTAAGAGGAAAAGAGCATTCTAGGTGGGCATTAGGGAAAGCCACAGGATGGCCAAGGGGCCTCAAAGCCCCTTGATCTGATCCTTGAGGCTGATCCCAGACACACATCCCCCCGCTGCTGAAGCCAGCGTTGCCCTCTAATGAAGAGTCATTTTCTTACTTCTTGGAATTGGTGTCTATATTCTATGGAATGAGAAGACCTTTAAGGCCCCCTCCAACACAAACCATTCCCTGATTCTCTACCTTTTAAAAAATCCCATTATCACCAGCACAGTGGCTGTAACCCGGGGCAACTTCTATGGTTTAATGATAAAACCTTTGAATTGGAGACACATTATTTCATATTCCTTTGAATGTATTCCAGCTTCCAGCTACTACAGCTGTCAGCAGTGCAAGAGGTGTCTGATGATGCAGGAAAAAACAACCTGTCACCCTTTGGAGCAGGAAACCAGCTCCTTCATCCCACACCTCAACTCACATGGGAAAAAAAAGTCAGAGCAGAATTACCCCGAAGGAGCAGAGTTATTATAGCATGTTCTTGCACATGGGGTTTGTATTTATATCAATGAGAGGAAAAATGGAAAATAGTCAAGGAAAAAATATTTTTGAGGAAAATAATGTCCCGTACATTTAAATGTTCCACATTTACTCTTATTTGACAAAAGGCACTTACTACAGATGCCTCAGCCCAAACACTCCTTTGGTTAACCAGGAAACAAGTTCTTATATTCCAGCAGCTCCAAGCAAACCCTGCAAACCTGGTATGGCCACGTTTTTCCCAACAACCTGCCTCCTTCCACCCCGGAATTGAGTGGCCGAGCTTTCCAATGGCAGCTCCAAAGCTCTGGCTGGTTCCCCCTGGGAAGCCCAGCTCCCCAGATCCCCCCATCCAGCACCACCTCCCGCTCCCTGGAGTGTGGAGCAGCTCACCTGGGAGCAGCAGGAAGAGCCAGAGGAGCAGAGGGATGGATGGGAGCAGCATCTCTGCGGCGGCTGCAGCTCCGGAGCCCCGCCGAGGCTCTGGCCATGCCGGGAAGGAGCGCAGGGCGAGGATTTGCCTGCCTGGGCTGACTCTCACAGAGCTTCCTGTTAAAGAATAGAAGGAAACGGGCTGAATCCACAGGGGAACTGTGTTTTTCAGCCCATTATGGTCGGGGAGGATGTGAGACATAGCTCAGGCAGCAAAGGAAACCTCGCCGTGGCTTTGGTGGGGGATTCGACTCCTCTGGTGGGGGACAGCGGAGTCACAGTCCTGCTTTGGGCCTCAGGAGCTTCCTTATGGTGCCTGGGTTTTTGGGGAGATGCTTTGTTTGTGGTAGGATGTGCCCCCAGCTCCAATCCACCCCGCATCAGCTGTGAGGGCTGTAGGCTGTGTGGGATGAGAGCTGCAGGAGGAGCTGGTGCTCCCCCCCACATGAGGGGGGATTTCTTAGTACCTCCATGAGGGATTTTGGAATAATTGCTCCTTGTGGGGCCAGGGTAACTCAGCAGCTGGATCTGCCCTGTACCCTGTGCCTCCCTGTGCAGCTCCAGCCTGTCTGGCACCGGGATGTGCCACCTTTGGGATGCAGTTCTCCAGGTAGCAGCAGCATCCCTTCCCACACGATACACAGCTTTGACTTACCCCTTCCCCAGCTCCTTGAGAAGGGGAGGAACCGGAATATTGGGCCAGTTCTGGCCCCCATCCAGCCCGAGGGGTTCAGGCTGTTTCTTGGCCGCAGCCCTGTGACGTGCTGCTCTGTGCAGGTCCTGCCTGTCCATAGTTTGAACTCCAGAGGGAATAATTTGATTTAAATGGGTGTCTGGGAGAGGAGAAGGGTTCTAGTGTCCTCACATGGGAAAGGTTGCCTGTCTTGGAGGGTCCATATGGGTGTTCAGGATGCAAGCCACAGGATTGTGTCTCCTGCTCTAGGGGCTGGTCCAACCCCCTCCCACAGACCCCCAAAAGCCACAGAGCTTCATCTGAGGGCAACAGAGCTGCTCCTTCACAGCACTGAGTGCATCAAGGGGTGACTGCTGCTGCCACCAAGGTCCTTTCTTCACACAGCTGGGAGATGGTGGCAGGCCTGGAAGGAGAGATCCCCCATGCACTGGGCAGCTCCTCATGTTTCTGGGGGTCTTCAGACCCCTCCAGCCCCCCAAACAAACCACCAGCCCCCCTGGCAGTGGCCTCTCCAGCAGCCTTTGCTGGGACAAACCCCCTGCCAGCAGCTCCCCCCATTCCTCTGTCCCTTGCACAGATGTGACGCTCAGAGATTATGCTGTAGATTAAGGTTTTACTGAATCCTGAAATGAGTGCAAATTCCCAGAAGCTCTCACATGCAGTTAAATCTCTTCTGGATGCTCGGCTGGATGGTGGAAAAGGCATTTCCCACCCTGTCCTTCCCACATGCAGGAAGGACAGAGCCCAAATATTCACCCGAGCTTGTGTGCTGAGAGCCTGCAGGTAAGAGCAGTGGTGTTTGGGGAAGGGAGGATGGGGGAATGTGCTTTGTTTTGACTAAAACTCGAGGGGATCCATGTTTTCCGCTCGGAGATGTGCTCAGGGTCATTCCCAGTGGTCTGACACACAGCATCCCTGGCCCAGGGGGATGGTACCCACCTGAGTGCAGGGGTGATGTACCAGCCTGGAGGGCATCCCTGGAGAATATCCCTGGAGGGCATCCCTAGAGGATATCCCTGGAGGACATTCCTGGAGGGTATCCCTGCCAGCCTTGTGGCACAGCTGCCGTGCAAGGGGACAGATGTGCCAGCCCTGCCCTGGCACTGGTCATGGAATCACAGAATCATTGGAGAAAACCTTGCACAGAGGTTTGGACCATCCAACTTGATGGTCCAAAGGGTGCAGAGCTTCCCCAGGCACTCCCACCTCTGGCCACAGCCGTGCTGGGAGTGCTCCTCCCGCAGCAGTGGGACGGAGAAAATCACCTCTGGGGCTGCTCCGGAGAAAATCACCTCTGGGGCTGCTCCCTCCCTCGGACGAGGGTCCTTCCCGCCGGGATCTCTGTGTGGATACACTCACTGTCCCGGGCTGTGCAGAGTTCACGTGCAGAGGGGGCTTTTTTTTACCCCTGTTTCTTCCCCGCGTTACATTTTCACGCCGAGCCGGTGGTTTCGGGGAAGTTTCCTGCCTTGGGTGCAGCTGAAGGGGGGGTGGGCGCTTGTCCCCAAACAAAGGGCCCTTGTCCTGCGCGGGGTGAGAGGAGGGTCGGCGGGAGCGGGGAGGGGGCGGCAGCGCTGAGGTGGCACCGGGCTGGGAATGGGAGCAGCTCCTGCCCCGGGGTGAGCAGGCGCTTCCTCGTGTGCCCCGGGCATCCCGGGGGGGGTGTGGGGCCGAGGAGTGACGTGGCAGCTTCCGAGGTGAGTGTGGCTGCACCTACACCGGAGATCATCCCGGAGCTGTTCCTGCTGCTCCCGCCGTCCGCTTCCCAGCCCCGCCGCTGGAGACGATGATTCCCAGGCAGCAGGAAAGCCGAGGTACCCCTGAGGGGCTGGGAGGGCTCTCCGTCCCTCCTCTCCCCCCACTGCCCCTGCTCCCAGCCGTGCTGGCTCCCACGGGATTTCGCCGCCGTGGCGAGGGACGACTCATGGGGTTGGGTCTCCCAGGGTGGTCCCCGTGGGGCCGTTTGGTCCTGGATTAGCGCCGTGGGGCCGGGGGTGAAGAGGGGAGGGTGGAAGGGGTGTGGTGGGGAGGAAAAGCCCCACGCCAGAGGTGTCCAGGTGAGGAGACAGAGGGCATTTCCTCCCTGGCTGAACGTGTCCAGGGAACCATCCTACAAGCCCAGAGACGGCCACCAAAACTGATCCTGTTCCACGAGCCTGAGGGAGGGAGCACTTATGGGATCATCCCATTCCCTGGCAGCTGCAAGTGCAGGCGGGAGCTGTGGCCTCGAGGGCAGGAGATAGGGACAGGAACAGCCTCTGCTTGGGGGTCACCCCGGGTTTCCCTGTGCCAGGTCAGCCCGCTGAGCCATGAACAGCTCCGTGCCCAGCAGCCAGCTGAGACACCCCGAGCCGCAGGACGTGGCCGCCGTCACCCCCGTGTCAGTCGCCAGGGCCGTGACGAAGAAGGCGGACGCGCTGCCCATGATCTCGGTCATCGTGGTGGTCTTCGTGCTCCTGGCCGTGTTCATCATCCTCGTGGTGCACTACGGGCCCCAGCTCCGCACCGTGCAGATCACCCTGTACCACGAGCCCCTGCCACAGGACCTGCACAACGGGGTGCACCTCACCCACTGGAAGCAGCTGGACCCTCAGAGGAGGTGGGATCTGCCTGGCATGGATCTGGCTGGAGGGAGCTGCCAGTGCTCCTGCAAGCACCACCTTCCCAGCGGGAGCGCTGAGCCCAACGTCATTGAGGTCACGTACCTGTGACACGGCCCCGGGACACCTGAGACTGTGTCCCACTGGAAAAGCAGTGACTGGATGTCAGTGTATCCCGAGACTCACCGGTTCCCAGGCAGAGGCTGTACCTGCCCAGGTCTGTGTCTGGCCCCAGGAAGGCTCAGCCAGGAGGTTCAGTGTCACAGCAGTGACCCATCACCAGTCCAGCCTGGGGGTTGCTGCTGTCCCCATTCAGGAGCTGGGTCCCAGCCTGGGCTCTGGGGCTGGGTCAGCCCTCATGAGACAGCATTAGCATCAGTTCTGGCTTTCCTCACCCTGGTGTTACCTGTCCCACGCTGCCTGGGAGTGGTCAGGAGAGCTGTCTTGGTCCTTGTCCCAGCTGGGGAGCTCTGGGGCTCTGCTCAGCCCCTTGGCAGGAGCTGGAAGTTACATCATCTGGAATTGTTTTCCTGATGAAAGATGTTTCCTCATTCACAGTGTCCTCATTACACCATTTGTATGTCACAGAGAAGCCTCCAATCCCTCTTTTCCTCTGTGCCACAGCCCCTTTTCCTCTGTCAGAGGGCTGAAACACCATCCTCCCCCCTGGCAGCCCTGGCAGCAGGCTCAGTCCTTGGGGCAAACAGCCAGAGGAGAGGAGAAGAGGCAGCTCCTCAACCCGTGTTGGTGGAGCCAGTGACAGGGGACAATGTGTCCTTTCCCCAGGGGAGGTGTGTGAGAGAAGAGTGGTGACACAGCAGAGGCAAGAGAGGTGATAATGGCACATCACAGCTGGCTGAACATCTGGAGGTGTTGGCACCAGAGGAGACAGGCAGAGACTGCAGCATCTCTGTGCACGGGGATGGGGAGACCTGAGGTCACCCTCACTGAGGTCATCCTCACTGAGATCATCCTCACTGTGGTCATCCTCACTGTCCCCAGCTCTGGCTGCTGTCCCTGGGCCAAGGGCAGCTCTGCTCAGGGCATGGGGACTCGGGTGGTTGGAAGCAGCCAGGCATGTCCCAGCCAAGGAGGGAGTGATGGTGGGGTTGGCACAGTCAGCCACAGGGAGGAGGATGTTGATGTGACTCCATCACCCTGGGTGGGAGCTTGTTGAGGTGGCACAGAGGGAGCAGACAGAGAGGTGAAACCTCCTGAGCCCTGAAGGCTCCTGGTGGTATGAGACTGTGGTAGCTGTTGAGCCCTGGGGGCCCTTCTGCTGCTGGAGGGCACCTCTTTGGCCTCAGGTGGAAGCTGGACATCAAGGCCTGTCTTCAGTGAGGGGCTCAGCAGACACTCCCTGGGGAAGCAGCACAGCCCCTGGGATCACCCACAAGGATTTATGCTGCTGAACAGTCCCAGAAGTCAAAATATGGTTCCCACCTCTCCCCTTCCCACAAAAGCCAGGTCCGTGTCCCCCTTTGCTGCATCCCCAGCACAGATCCCTCTATGCACAGGTGGACAAGAAATGGGGCTTTACCTGTTTCTCCAGGCACTGGGAGTATTTCTGACATGGCAGATGCTCCAACATCTCTCTTCTCACTTATTTCCAGCTCTTTTCTCACTTACTTTAAAGCTGGGTAGTGGTTGGACTTGCTGGAAACTTTTTGTCTCAACAATAAACATAATTTATATTACCTTTGGGGGGAGAGCATTTTCTGTTTTGATTTTTTTTTTCCTTTTTGTTTTCCAGAGGTGATGGTGCAGTTATCAGCTTTCCCACTCCTGAGTTACAGGAGATAAGAGCTGTCATTTCCATTGAAAATCAGAGTCCCACCCTGCTTTGCATGTCAACATAGGACTTAGTTTGTAATGTGTACATCCCTAATTAGCACCCCCTGAAGAGATAATCACCTTCCAAGGATTTCTCCTAATTAAGACATTCTCCTCTGTGAGGGTGGGGAGGCCCTGGCCCAGGTTGCCCAGAGAAGCTGTGGCTGCCCCTGGATCCCTGGAAGTGTCCAAGGCCAGGTTGGAGGGGGCTTGGAGCAACCTGGGCTAGTGGGAGGTGTCCCTGCCCATGGCAGGGGGTGGGACTGGATGGGCTTTAAGGTCTCTTCCCACCCCAACCATTCCATAACCTCTTCAAACAACATCTGTAGGTTGTGGCCACCCACACCACGTGTCTGAAGCTGAAGAACCCCCTACAACCATCACAGGATCTGCCCTGTGGCCCCCAGACAGGCTGCACCCACCTCTCGGGGACACACACAGGTGTCACCCACCCGGGGTGAAGCAGGGGAGTTGTCACCCAGCTTTTGTGGCTGTGCCATTTGGGATCAGGAGCAGCTGGGATTGAGACAAAACCTTTAATCGGAGAAACGGGAGCTTTCATGGCAGCTCCCACCAAAGGACAAACACAGCAGGGAACCAGTGTGTTTAGAAAGAAAAGATTAAAACAGTCTAAATATTAATAAAGAGAGAGATAAAATGGGTAATTATTGCTGGCACTCATTGATTTGCAGCCGCTGGGGACTCGTAAAGGTCTGATTTATGTCACGTTGTGCCGTGGCCCAGATCCATCACTTCTGGGAACCCACTGCTGTGCTTGTTGCTCAGGTATTTCAGGCTGTCAAACTAAAAGCAAATAAAACTGGTGGTGCTGCTGGGGCTCCAGTGGCCTCACATTTGTCCTGTGCTCTGATCCTTCCAGCCCAGCAGCTGCCAGCAGCTCCCTCCTACACGAACATCTCTGGAAAGATGTAGTACTGAAGTTCCAGCCTTCAAAATTTGTTCCCTGTATTTCATTTGCAAATAGATATTTAGATATAATCTTTTGGAATACAGGAAAGAAATTACTGTAAGGCTTAGAATAGCAAATTAAATCATACAAGCAAGTGACAATATGCTGCCAGGTTTCTCCTCCAGAAGGACATCAAGGGTTAGATCTCAACTCTGCTCCTCATTGCTTTCTCCTGCACAATAAAACATCATTTTTACAGATTCTCCTTGTTTCTCTTTGTCCAGCTCTCAGCTCATAGAATTTCTTCTTTCCAGCACAGGGCTTTATAAAACACATCAGGGTCTGTGAGCAGCAGAGCTGTGCATGCCATTACCATAACATTATTCCTCTCTATTCAAACACCGAGCCTGTCCCGATTTACTTCACTTAAAACTTTCTTTCCCTCCTTAATAATAATCCTTTTATGAACACAGAGCAACAATAACTCTCCTTATCATCCCCTCTGCACAGGGCAGCTTCCTGGAGAACCCCAAGCAGGAGCTGCAGAGGCTTTGCTTTGCTCAAAGCCAGGTTTGAGAAGCTTTCAGGAGCTGCTGCACCACCTATTAACTCTGCCCTGATCAGGGACTGCCTGCACCCCCTTTTATATCCCTTCTAATTAGGGTGTTGCACCTTCATCACCCTCCCAGAGGCCCGTGGCTCCCCGGAGGGTTTAGCGGGGGGAGTTGGAGGTGACTCTGCTCATGACGCTGCAGGGTTGCCTAAAATTGTGCAAAATTGAGGGAAGCACCGAAAAATTGTGCAGACCCGAGGGAGGCACCCAGAGCATCCGCAGAGGCTGGAGGGGAGGGAGCTGCAGCATCCCTCGGAGGGAGCCGGCTGAGCCCCCCGGCACCTCTGCGCTGGGGGAGGGTGGTCGCAGCCCCTCTGCTGGGAGGGCCGGGGGTCAGCACCCCGCTGCCCCTCAGGCGGTGCGGGCCGGGCCGGGGAGCGCGGTGCAGCCAGCGCGGAGCAGCAGTGGGCTCCAGTGGTGGAGGAAGCCAACTGCACACGGCAGGAACCGCGCGGGGACGGGGCTGCTCCTGCCCCGCCAGCCCCGCGGGGATGATGTGCCTGGTTTGGGGCTCCCTGGTGTGAAAGAGGCATCGCTGGAGGGGCCTGTGAGGACACACAGAGAAGCTTTCACTGTGGTGAAGGATGAGCAGCTCAGCCCAAAGGGGACCCAGCTGTGGGAGGCTGGACCAGGTGGCAGGTGGAGGTCACCTTCAGCCAGTGTCACCTTCTGATTTCACGGAGAGGATGAGCACAGGGAGAGCCAGCCCCTCCGAGAGAAGGTCCCTCCATCTCCTGCAGATCTGGGTGTTTGCTGTTTGGTGTGAGCGGGAATCATCTCCTTCATGTGGAGGAAGGTCCCTGGGAGCCTCCCAAATCTGAGGATGGGGAAGGTTCTGTGCCACCTTGTGCAGCTGCACCTGTACCCAACTCCTCACACACCTATTGCAGAGAGAGGGATTATTTGAAGGGACCCACAGGGGTCATCGAGTCCAACCCCTGGCCCTGCACAAGACACCCAACAACCTCATCATGTGCTGACAGTGTTGTCCAAATGCTCCTTAAGCTCTGGTAGGTTTGGGGCTGTGATCACTGCCCCAGTGCAGTTCCAGTGTAGGGAAAAACCCCTGATCCTGGTGCAAGGGCACAGCTGGTGAGAAGCAGCCGTGCCTTTCCTTGCTCCACCTCCATTTCCAGCTGCTCTCCTGCTGAGGACGCTGCTCTGATGTGGAGCTGAGCCTGGAAGAGCCCATTCCTCCTCAGGGTCCCTCCTGTGTTTAGGCCTCTGTGACACTTGGACACCCTTTCCCACCCCATGGATGAGCTGTAGAGCAGAGATTGGACCAAGTCCTGCTTCCCTGAGGAGTCCACAGGATATTATAAACACTAAAAACCGTAATGAGGCCAAACCTTGGTGTGTCATCAGTGGGGCTCATTTTGAACTCTTCTCCTTTTGATGTTGTCTTTTAAAGTCAAGGAACCATAGAATGGTCTGAGTTGGACCTAAAACATCATCCGGTTCCAGCCCTGCCATGCAACCTTCCACTAACCCAGGTTGCTCCAAGCCCCGTTCAACCTGGCCTTGGACACTTCCAGGGATCCAGGGGCAGCCACAGCTTCTCTGGGCAACCTGTGCCAGGGCCTCCCCACCCTCACAGCCAAGAATTCCATCCCAGTATCCCATCTAACCCTGCCCTCTGGCAGTTTGAAGCCATTACCCCTTGTCCTGTCCCCCCCTTGCCCCCAGTCCCTCTCCAGCTCTCCTGGAGCCCCTTTAGGCCCTGCAAGGGGCTCTCAGGTCTCCCTGGAGCCTTCT